CAAATCAAGAGCACTTTGAGATAACATCTCACTCCAGTTAGGATGGTTAACATCCAAAAGTCTGAGAATGATAAGTGCTGGAGATGTTACAGAGAAAAAAGAACTCTCATACACTTTGGTGGGACTGCAGAATGGTGCAGCCTTTATGGAAAATGGTATGGAGTCTCCTCAAAGAATTACACATAGATCTACCATATGACCCAGCTATTCTACTGCTGGGAATATACCCAGAGGAATGGAAATCATCATGCTGAAGGGATACCTGTACTCCAATGTGTATCACAGCTCTATTTACAATAGCCAAAAGTTGGAACCAGCCCAAATGTCCATCATCCGATGAGTGGATAAGGAAACTGTGGTACCTCCACACAATGGAATACTACTCAGATAGAAAAAAGAACAAAATAGTACCATTCACAACAACATGGATGGACTTAGAGAAAATTATATTATGTGAAACAAGTCATGCACAGAAAGAGAAATACCACATGTTCTCACTTATTTGTGGGAGCTAAAAGTAAATAAATAAATACAGAAACAAATAAAGGGTGGGGGCAGAGGAAGGAGACAGAATAACCACAAAAATTCCTTGAATTATTTAAATCAAGTGAACAGATATGATGTCGGGGGGGGGGGGGAGAGAGGGTGGAACAGATATGATGTAGGGGGGGGGAGGAGAGAGGGTGGAAGGAACAGGTAAAGGGCATGAAAGTCGAGTACAATGTATATTGAGAAGTAAAAGAAGGAAGAAAAAATTTTTTAAAATTATACACCACAATCAAGTGGGATTGATCCCAGGGATGCGAGGATAGTTCAACATACATAAATCAATAAATGTGATACTCCACATCAACAAAATCAAGGACAAAAACCATATGATTATCTCAATAGATGCAAAAAAAAGCATTCAACAATGTTCAACATCTGTTCATGATAAAGACTCTCAGCAAATTAGGTATAGAAGGAAAGCATCATAACAGAGTAAAAATCATATATGACAAAGCCACTGCCAATACCACCTTGAACAGAAACAAGACAAAGATACCCACTCTCTCCACGCCTATTAAACATAGTGGTGGAAGTACTTGCCAGAGAAATCAGGCAAGAGAAAAAAATAAAGGGCACCCAGATCAGAAAGGACAAAGTCAAACTATCCCAATTGCAGATGACATGATCCTATATATAAAAAAACCTATAAACCTCTACCAAAAAAAACTGTTAGAGCTGATAAATGAATTTAGTAAAGTTTTAGGATACAAAATCGGCACACAAAAATCAATAACATTTTTATACTCCAACAGCAAATTAACGGAAGAACAAATCAAGAACACAAGCCCATTTACATAGTCACAAGAAAAATAAAATCCTTAGGAATAAATTTAACCAAAGAGGTGAAAGAAAGAAAGAATCACAACAATACGTTGAACTTTCAGGAGAGAAGAGAACTGTGCTTACTAGTGGAGTGGGATTAGCGAGAAATTGCTAAACAAACACAAGAATGATTATGTTTTGTGATGATGAATATGCTAATTATCTTCATTTGATCATCACACATTTTACACAGGTATTGATATTCAACTCTGTACCCTATAAATATGTATAATAGATTATGTTTCAAAAAAAAAACTAGTACATCAATCTTTTCCATGTACAGACGGAAGACTTAAGCTTGGAGAGAAAAACATATAATTGAAGAAATACAGATTCTTGTATGCCTTACTGTTCATGAAAGAACGGTCTCTCTTGCACATTTGAATATTGGTCTGGTAACCCACTGTAATTGTGGCCATGCTCTTGATCTTGATTAGGATATTCTGTCTCACTTTGATTCTTGTCATATATTTGTCCTTCGGTTTGGATAGGAAAACTATCTTGGGATCCATCTTGTGGCCTACCTTGTTGTCTATCATAGAGTGGCATTGGTTCTTTATTTGAATTTTCCCCTGGCATTCTAGTTTCATCTTGGCCATGACCTTGATCTTGCTCAGGATTTTGTGTCTGGTTTTCCTTTTCGTTATATATTGGCTGCTTAGTTTGGACAGGTCCAGTGTCTTGGGATTGACACTGGGGTTTGTCATTGGTTCTTTATTTGAATTTTCCCCTGGCATTCTAGTTTCATCTTGGCCATGACCTTGATCTTGCTCAGGATTTTGTGTCTGGTTTTCCTTTTCATTATATATTGGCTGCTTAGTTTGGACAGGTCCAGTGTCTTGGGATTGACACTGGGGTTTGTCTTGTGGTTCAAGACCAAGTGGGCCTTTCTGTGTACTTGGGTATTCTCCTGAAATTTCATTTGAATTTTGGGCATGCACTTCATCTTGATTAGGATTTCGAGCTTGGTCTGATTTTTCTCATTTACTAGTTCTTCAGTTTTGAAAAGAAAACTACCTCGGGACTCATCTTGTGGCCTACCCTGTTGTTCATCATTGAGCGAGGTTTCTTCTCTATTTGCATATGTCCCTGTCATTCTGTTTGCATTTTTGACCTGCTTTTGATCTGGATTAGGATTTTTTTACTTGGTTTTGAGACTTTGTCATACCCTGGCTGTTCTACTTGGATAGGAAAACTGCCTTGAGAACCCTGTTGTGGCCAAACTTGTGGTCCACTATAGACTAAGAATTGATTTCTTCTTACATATTGACCTGGCATTCTAAACACATATAGGACATAACTGTCATTGGATCCATCCTGGTGTCTGCTTTGTTGCTCGGGGTAGAGTAGTTGGCCTTGTAGTCTATTTGAAAATTTTTATGATCTATCTGGTAATTGGTATTGTGGAATACTGGTAATTGATAATGAGAATGTATTTGCTCCAATATTTCCAAAGATCCCTCCTAGCTCCTTCCCTGCAATGTTTTCCCATCAAATCTTGACATTCCCAGAATGACTGTGCCTTTGAGTGCAGGAGATTCCATTCCCATTATGGAGAATATTTGTCTAAAGAGGATTCTGTTCACACCCAGTGTACTATTCTTCCTAACTAGTTTTTTCCCCAGGCTCTTCCTTTCCACTCACCATAGAGTCCAATCACAGCTATTTCCTTCTCAAGAAAGAGAAGCAGAGAAAAAATGAAAATGTCAGACATCATCTTGCCAGGAAAGGCCATGGCTGAGATTTGAATTGAGCTTCTCATTTATATTTTTTGAGTGGATGTGTCAGGCATGGAGGTGAAGTCAAAAAAGACACTGCCCTTTCTTAGATTCTCAGTAAATGTCGATTTCCTCATTCCTGCTCAATAGAGGGAATTGTCAAAGTCCCTAGAAACCTTGCACAGGAACACAATGTCAGATGCCTTTTCTTTCCCCCACGAGCCCCAGCAAATCATTATCAACACTTGGAGGTTATCACACCAAGTCTTCTACGTTTTTAGGAGAAATTCAGTTCAGAAGAAAGAAGATACTCATTTCAGGTTGCAAAATTAATTGGTGACTGACCAAGCTCTCACAGTCAAAGTGTAGGACTCTTATAAATAATGGCACCATTTAACTATTTCATCACAGACATAACTCTAAACTTCTCCTTGTTTCAACGTGAGCTTGAGACATTCTGTTTACCTACGAAGGAGCATTTATAGAGGTAGAAGGACGCAGAAGAGAATGGAACTTTGTGAATGCCAAAGAAAGGTTTCAAGAAGTAAATAAGGGCTCACCAATATCCAAAGTAGCTGTGCAGTTTCTCACTATATGATCGACATGTGCCCAAAGCTTTTCTAACTTCAGTTGCCACTAGAAACTTGAATGACAGAAGATTTGTGTAGGGTTGGTTGTTAGAGAATGGAGAACAGCAGCCACCTTTTCAAGAAAATTGGATGTATAATGAAGTGAGAGTTGGGGCTATACCTGGAGGGTGAGATGACCATTAGAGCTGTTTGTAAAGGATGGGAGGAACTTAACATGTTTTAATGCTGGTAAGAATGACTATTAGAAAAAGAATTAAGAGCATGTGTTTCTGAATTGGATTCTTTTCATGAAATCTACATAACACACAAAATACATTTTTTAATTAAAATAATTTCTTTTGTAAGTAGTAAACAGCTACAACTCCCAACACACTGTGAGGAATACTTGCCACCATCGATGAATTTATTAGTATATTGAGAGAAGATGCAAAGAGAATATTTCTAACTTGGGTAGAGTAGTGTACATTTCTGAAATTGTGAGGAAATGCTGAATTGTCTAGGAGCATTTCTTTACTTCAACCCATAAACACTGGGGTATGGGCAAACCACAGGAGAAAAGCAAAGCATCCCAACAGTGACTCTATGCATTCAGAGCACCACGAAGAGTGGTTCTGGTGAAAGGAAGTCTTGAAAACATATTTTCGATCATTCTGTCCTAAAATCCTAATCTCCCTATTGGGAATGCTGTGGAAAAGGGAAAAAGAGAGAAAAATTACGCTTTTATGTAAAGAACATAGATAAAAAGTACTGAGCCATCAAACAGAAGACACGTAAGCTACATGGTTTCACCATAAGCCAATCAGAGCACCAACCAAGGATATCTGTTGGCCTCAAGCATGGTAACAATATTTCTAGAACAAAGACCCCAGCAGATTAGGCTGAAATTATCTTGAATTACTTACTGTTTGCTTACTGTTCCTGCTTATCTCCACACTCCTCCACACACACATCCCTTGAGAAACTACCAGGAAGTGTTCCATTCCGAGCTTACTAGTACAAGAAAAAACTGATTATGTTAATCTTTTTTATGGATCAAAGAACAAAACCCTTGTCTGATCTAGTGTGCAAAAGATACAAATAAAATAAAGGGCTCAAGGATTGAGCAAAAACAAACCAGAAAGATGCAAATCAAAGGTAGTATGAGATTATGATTCTCATATCAGAATATAATTCAGACATAAACTGAAAAAACAGCATTGCAAAATAAAAAAGAAAGCATGATTGCAAAATAATGAAAGCAGAAATCAATGACTTGGAAAGCAGAAAAATGTAATGGGAGGTGAATAAATCCAAGATACTGTATTTTGGTGGGGAAAGAAAAAAACTCCTTCTGGACAAATTCAAAACATGCCTGAAAATACTAAAATACACAAAATTGACTTGAGACTAGAAATCTAGTATGTTGGAAGCACAAGATAGGAGAATTTATGTTTTCTTCAATTTTATGCAAAATTAATTGACAACTTAGAAAATATAACAAAATAAATTACCTTAGTTGTCTTAAGAATAAATAGAAAACCTAAACTGTATAATTATCATGAAAAAAGTATAGGAAGTTGCCTAAAAATCTCCTACCCTAGCCCCACCAAGTTCTAGGTCCAAGTGATTTAATATGAAGCAGCAGAGTGAGAGAAATCATAGCTGAAAGCTGATGCAGAAAGTTTCTTATGATTAGAGTAGAAATAATGGTTGGGAGAAAGTATAAGCCCCACATCAATGAATACAAGGCAGTAGGAGTAACAAGGATGTTCACCAAGGGACAGTTTGGATTAACTATGACAGTAAACTCCACTCCTCACTATCACTTGTATTTAGAGGAGTGTTCGTTTTCCAAATATAGTAGTAATAATCACCCGGATCCTGGGAAGCAGAAAAAAGCCCTAGGTCGCCCATCAACACTATCCAGCTCCAGTGCTTTTTCATCATTCCAAACTCAAACTCTCTATCCATTAAATAATACATAGACTATTTTACTGTCTATGAATTTCATTATTCTGGGTACTTCATATAAGTGGAATCTTACAATATTTATCCTTTTCTATTGGGTTTGCCTCAAATAGCATAACCTTGATAATCTCAATTTTAAAAGCGAGAACACAGTCAAGTATCTTTAATTTTTCATGAAAATTGACATGAAAGAGATGTATCAAATTCAATCAATAAAAAGAGACAGAGAGAAAGAAAGAAAGAAACAATCAGTAATTCATTGAACTTCTAGAAAACTACAAGTGGAAAAGGAGAGAGGTGGGGGAAGGGAGGGGGCTAATGAGGAATTGGTCAATGGACACAAAGAATGATTGAATATTGTAATGATGAATAAGCTGACTATCCTGATCTAACCATCACACATTGTCCACAATTATTGAAAATCAATGTTGTACCCCACATGTATGTATAACAAATTATCTAAAAAAAACCCAAAATACAAAAACAAATTGACACTGACATAAAACTTCACTAAAAAATGAAAATCAAAACCAATGCAAGAATTAAAAAGAACATAAAATAATACCTTCAGATAAGTAAAGGACCCAAAATACAAAAACAAATTGACACTGACATAAAACTTCACTAAAAAATAAAAATCAAAACCAATGCAAGAATTAAAAAGAACATAAAATAATACCTTCAGATAAGTAAAGGATGTGTCGTCTGTAAGTCAATAACTGACTAAGATTCAAAAAACAAGAGGATAGAAATGAAAATTTTGTTAAGATAGAAGAATGTATCTTAAAATCGAATAAACTGCTTACACATGCCTGAGAAGAATGTATGCAAAAATCCTGCATATTATGGCTGAGGTCACTTTACAGTGTGTGAACCTGACCAACGCTACCTCAGCCAGGTGATCAAGATTAAAATCATCAATGTTAAGTCATGTTGAAGTACCTTTGATATAATGCAATAACAAGGTTCATTAATGGCAAAAATGGTAAGATGGTGGGCCGGCCCGGTGGCACACTGGAGAGTGCGCTGCTTGGGAGCGTGGCGATGCTCCCGCTGAGGGTTCGGATCCCATGTGG